CCCCCCTGCCTACTTCGTATATAAGCAGCACCTTCCACATCCTATCACCACAGCTACTGCTCTCCGCAGCTATTCAACTGCTCTGAAGATGGAGGCGCTACGTTCCTCCGAAACGTCGGCCAAAACGAAGAATACACGGTGCCTAAACCCAGAAGACAACTTTCTTCATTGTCATCGCTGTGAAAACCTCAAAACTTACATAAATCAGTAAATATTTAAGGAAACTATTTCTTGTGAAATTGTTATTTTCTTTTCTTTTTCTGCACTAAACAGTTTCTGTCTATTAAATGTAATTTAGATTTGAGTTTCCAATAGAGGTATGTTTTGTTATAATACAGGTTCCATTTTAACCCCTTAAAGCCTAGTGGTTAATAGATGTACCACCTGCTTTAACATACTCTGTTCCCTGTCCAGAGTGTATTTATGTGTTCCATATGGTTCTCACAGTAAACAGTGACTGTTTCTATAGACAGCATTAACTGGTTGGTCTTTGTAGCTGAGATGTCATGCATTTCCTCTGAAGAAATTCAGTCTTTGATGAGTTAAGGAAGTTTTACTGTTGTAACTTTTGCTGGTGAGGTGCCTACTATTTTACAAATGATTCTACAGGCTATGGAATACACTTTTATCATTTTAATTTTAATGTTGCAGCTTTTCTGGGAAGAAAAAATACGTGAAGGAAAGCTCCATCTATTGAAGTATAAGATAAAAAATTTACGAGATGAAATACAGATATGGTGGGAGAAATGTTTCCTCAGTGAGGATGAGAAACAAGAATTTGACGATTATAAGTCAACAGATTACACAAATCAACTCTATGTTTCTCATGTAGAGGAATTAGGAAGACTGAAAAGAAAATTTTATAGAAATGAGTAAGTCCATAATAATATTTTCATATCATCGTTCATTGTCTTACGTTAATATACACTTGGTCGTCGACTTAACGACCGGCCGCACTTACAACCACAAAAAAAATGAAAAATAAAAGATGATTAAAATTTAAAAGTTTTAAAAAATAAATTATAAAGATGATAAAAAGATTAGGAAGGTTAAAAAATATATGGCTGACATACGACCAGATTGACTTACAACTTGTCAGTCAGAACGGAAGTCGGTCGTAAGTCGACGGCCAGGTGTACTTCACTTACAGTGTGGCAGTAGAGCTTGAAGGTTCAAACACTCCATATACCAGCACTCTCCATTCGACGTGATCTTGAGCTACTGTCATCCACTTCCCAGCCCTACAGTTTCTCTAACAGATTACCCCACCAAATTTTTGTATGTATTTATTGTCTCCCTCATCTGAGCTACACGTCTAGCCCATTCTAATATTCAAGTTCTCTGCTTTCAAACATTTGTAATTAGGTTGCAGAAAAATTATTTTATGCATCTCTTACATTATGTGCTTCTAACAAGACTTGAATTTGTGTGCATTAGATTGTAAGGAATTACAAGCTAGCTTGCTGGAAGTATATTTCAATTGTTACATGGGACAGTTTCATTTCTTGAGAGTTACTCCTAATAAGATCCTTAGAAATAAATATAACTCACTGGCTGGTATAAAGTGGAACATCAATTGATGTGTTAAAACTGCTTCATGAAGTTAAATTGTCACTTGTTAGTCACTGGATGTGAGGTCTGGATTGATAATAGGATTTATTGAACACTTGTAACTACAGGTAACTTTATAAGCGACTGTATTATAGTTTCATTTTATCACAGTAGTTTTTGGTAGATATTTGTCCTTTATTAAAACAATGTCTGAAACATCGTGAAGTATGTGAATTTATTTTCTGAATGAATGTGGATTGAAATAGTGAGGTTTCCCTTTCTTTCGAGTTCCATACTAAAATGTCTTTCATTACAGCAGAGTCCAAGAGCGCACAAGTTTATCAAGACTCT